GAGAGTTAGTTGAAAATTGCAAAGGCATTGCCATGAAATGGAAGAATTTATAATAAGTCAGAGATAGCAAACCACGTAACAAAAAAATACCATGCATGTTGCTCTACAATCCTCGGAAATGCAACTTTAAACCTACAAAGTTGAAATTTGTGGTTCTGTAAGGATCATTTTTGCTTATCAACTTATCACAAGATTTTTTTTTTAAATTTTACATTGTTTTAAATGCTTTTATTTTTTTTATTTTTTTTTAACGTTACATTTTGTTTTCTTGCATAAAAACTATAAGACTTAGAAAATTGACAGTACGAAAAGTTTAAAAAATGTTAGAGTACGATGCAATAAGAAAGAATTCGGTTATTAGTTTCAGAATTATCGACTGTTACATTTGAATTTGTAGAACCGGACACAAATGCGGAGTTAAAATTTGACGTGTTGTAAGATTTAATTTCATTTATGAATTTATTCCATTGTTTTTAAAGTTCTAATTTGTTTAAAAGCTATTGCAATTTTAAGAAATTTTTTAAAGATTTCTTTTGTTGCTTTAAATATTCACTGCTTACCCATTATGGAAGAAAAACTTTTCTTTTTATCTCTTTCGAGATGCTTTATTTTATGAACTCCCACTTCACTTGATTTTCAAAGCAACAAAAAAAGTTAATAAATAAAAAACAGAAAAAGTTTTCAAATGCTTTGGAAGATTTTACATAGCAAATATTTTGACACAATTTGATCAGGCTTAAAGCTTTTAGGAATGAAGTCCTTTTACCAATTTGCCAAATTTGGAATGATAAAAATGAGGACATAAAGTTGATAACTTATTTCTAGCCTTAATGCCAGCTATTTTGAAATCTTACTTTTACTTTATTTAACAAAAGCTGGGCACCTGGGCCGCGCAGAAGACCCATATCCCATTCATCGTGAAATTACAGTAAAATTAAAAAAAATATAAGCAGTTTGTATACAGAGTCTCTGGGGTGACTGAGCTATTTTGAAATCGTTTTAAGGGATTGCGATATTTACAGAGATGCCAACTGCTCCGGACGGGCCATAATACTTTAAAAATGGTAAACAACTACATACTAAAATTTCCAAAAATTTGACTACTTTTGTTTACTTTTTAAACAGTGTCGCGTGACAGTGGCGAATTATATATGCTTTTGAACTATTTAGAAATAGTGGTGGATAAAAACCTAATAAATTGAATTTATTAATCCAAGATTCACACATTAATAAACTACCACTAGAAAATATTTATTTGCTGTCCGGAGCATGTTGGCATCTCTGTATTTACATAAGATTAATATTAATATAATAAAGTGGATTATATTAATATTATAGTGGTCATGAAAAAAGAAAAAAAGCTTTTAACTTCTTATGCTTGTTTTGTTCAATTCAAATTTTGTACAGATAAAAAGAACGTCATTTCTAAAAGCTTCGAGAATGTTCTTTCAAATAGTGCTAACAATTTTGTCGCGGAAAATCTTCTAAAACAATGGATACTGATATAAACATTGTTTACATACCGTTAGTACAGAAGCGTTTCCCTCTTTTTATCCAAATTCTGTTATATAGTTAGCAACATATAATCAACAAGTTATTTATAACAAAATATAGTTAACAATTAAAATTTGCATCTATTTCTTCTTATGCCACACGTTGTGTATTTTTTTTTCAAGTTCAATACTTCTTCAAATGCAAGTAAACGTTCATTTTGTTGTGATAAACATATTAACCCTTTAATGGGCCCTTTATTTCTAGTAAAGGTAAATTAAAATATTTTTGGAACTGAAATTTTTTTAAGAACAGTAATTGATATTAAAAATAAACTCATTTAGTTTATAAAAATGCCATTTTTTTGTAGGTAATTATATTTAACATGACCTATTAGGAACTTACTGACTTTTATTTTTCTTTATTTATAGAATAAATTCCTTAAATGCTACAAACTTCAAAAGGAATTATGTATTTTATAACTTTTATACGATTTTTTAAAAGTGACAAATGGTTACCAATTTTATTCAAACTCACTTCAAGAAAGCTGAAGTTATTGAAAAATGGAAACCTAAATTAAAAGTGGTAAAACGTGGTGGTAAGTATGCTTACCACGGGCTTCAATAGGGTTAACAAAATATTCTTTACACAAAACTGCAATTATTAAAGGATTATTTTAAAAATAACGATTTTTAAGAATAATAAAAGATAGAGACGATTGAATTGCATCCGAGGAGGTGTGAGTAAGAAGCCTCTTAGCAAAATAAATTATACTAAAAAAAATTTGTCAGTAATATAAAGTGCTGATAAATAATAATTTTAACTAGAAAAATATTTAAGGCATAAACTAAATTAAAATAGCCGTTTCCAGCAATTATAATCTAAAAAAATAAATAAATAATATTTAAATTTTGTTTCTCTGGAGGAAAATTGTTTGATTGTTCTTAAATTTTGTTTCCGCTTAGAATTGTAATTTCATCGCCACTACTGCAAAGCAACTTAACCCGTTTTGTCCCGAATTTATGTATGGAAATGATACAAAAAGTGGTTTTATAGAAAAAGTGGTTTAATATATTATCGAAATTAATTGGTTTTCCACTGTTATGGCATTCGAAAAGTCTTTGATAGATCAAAAAGTACTTTTTCCTTATAATTCCAGATCTAATCAGAAATAACTAAATCATTGTGGTATCTGAGAATCTTTTAATTCACCCAGATAAATGAAAATGCTGAAAAAAGTTTCCCACCACAATGAATGTCTTTGAAAAAAGGAACTGTCCTAAATATATGACGCTGGGCGTTAACCGGTTAATCAGAAAGCATGAAGAAAAAAAACAATTATTTCTACCAAAACTTATCAACAGTTAAAGTTTACTGGACTATTTACAACTATGGAAAATAACTGTTTNAATTTGTTGTTCTGTAAGAATCATTTTTGTTTATTAACTTAACACAAGCCTTTTTTTTTAATTTTAAGTTGCTTTAAATGCTTGTTTTTTTTTAAATCTTTTTATGTTACATGTTGTTTTCTTGCGCAAAAACTATACGACTTAGAAAATTGACAGTACGAAAAGTGTAAAAAATGTTGGAGTACGATGCAATAAATAAGAAAGAATTTGGTTATTAGTTTAAGAATTATCGACTGTTATATTTGAATTAGTAGAACCAGACACAAATACAGAGTTAAAATTTGACGTGTTCTGAGATTTAATTTCATTTATGAATTTATTCCAATTGTTTTTAAAGTTCTAATTTGTTTAAAAGTTATTGCAATTCTAAGAGATTTTTTAAGATTTTTTTTATTGCTTTAAATATTCACTGTTTACCAATTATGGAAGAAAAACTTTTCTTTTTATCTCTTTCGAGATGTTTTATTTTATAAGCTCCCACTTGACTTGATTTCTAAAGCAACAAAAAAAGTTAATAAATAAAATACAGAAAAAAGTTTGCAAATGTTTTGGAAGATTTTGCATGACAAAAATTTAGACACAATTTGACAGATCATGGTTGAAGGTTTTAGAAATGAAGTCCTTTTAACCATATGCCAAATTTGGATTGATGAAAATGAGGACATAAAGTTAATAACTTCATTTTAGATTTAATACCATCTTGATTTTAATACCATTTTAGATTTAATACCATTTTGAAATCGTTTGAAAGGATTGCGATATTTACATAAGAATAATGTTAAAATTATATTTCTCATGAGAAAGAAAAAAAGCTTGTAACTTCTTACGTTTGTTTTGTTCGATTCAAATTTTGCACGGGTAAAAAAGAAGTCATTTCTGAAAGCTTCAAGCCTGATCTTTCAAATTGTGCTAACAATTTTGTCACGGAAAATCTTCTGAAACAATTACTGCTGAAATAAACATTGTTTACATAGAGTTAGTACAGAAGTGTTTCCCTTTTCTTGTCCAAACTCTGCTATCATTATATATAGCTAGCAACATATAATCAACGAGTTATATATGACAAAATAGAGTTAACAAGATATAGTTTACAAGATATTAACAAGATATAGTTAACAAGATATAGCTAACAAGATATAGCTAACAAGATATAGCTAACAAGATATAGTTAACAAGATATGGTTAACAAGATATAGTTAACAAGATATAGTTAACAATTAAAAATCACATTTATTCCTTCTTATTATGATACACGTTGTGTACTTTTATTCAAGTTGAATACTTTTTCAAATCCAAGTGATCGTTCATTTTGTTGCGATTAACATATTAACAAAATGTTCTTTACACAAAACTAATTATTATATTTTACATAAACAAATCATTTTTTTATATAACGACTTTTAAGAATAATAAAAGACAAAGATGATTGAATTGCAACCGAGGAGGTTTGGGAACGAAGCTTCTTAGCAAAATAAATGATACTGAAAATATTTGACAGTTAGACAAAGTGTTGATAAATAATAATTATAACTAAAAAAATATTTAAGGCATAAGCTAAATTAAAATAGCCGCTACCTACAATCATAATCTAAAAATTATGTAATAATATTTAAATTTTGTTTCTTTGGAAAATTGTTTAATTGTTCTTAAATTTTGTTCCCGCTTTGAATTGTAATTTCATCGCCACCACTGCAAAGTAACTTAATCAGAAAGCAAGAGTTATATCTACCAAGACTTATCAACAATTAGAGTATAATTTTCTACCCATGTCTACAAATCCGTGTTTCTTAGTCTTTCAGATTTTGTGCATCAAAACAATATCTATTGTAAAGGGGAACACAAATTGCAATAGCAGCGTCGCTTATTATTTTTTAATATAGAGACAAACAGCAATTTTTGTATTTACTGTGTACTAGAAACTTCAGACACTTATCTTCTGTTAATCATTATTTTTGAAAGATACAAAAGAATTGAAGGCCAATGAAATAAAACTGTAATCAGTAAATGATTTGAAACAATCCTTTTTTGATAAACTTAACAAATAAAGATTAAAATATGGAATAAGATTATTATACAAAAGAACATTATCAGATTCGTATTTATGTAAAATATTTGTTTTCAAAAACAGTATTGCGTATTTTACACCTTTGGTTCACTCCTAAAGATGTCGGGTAAGTCTCTCGCACAATATGTCGATGGTTTTCCACTTCCATCATCGTTTTCAGCTGACAGTTTTCGTTCGGCACTTACATATAAGCCACGCCCGGATGACATCTTTTTAGTGACATATCCAAAATGCGGGACAACATGGACTGGCCAAATACTTTTACTTCTTCTGCAGAAGGGTGAACCCTTAAAAAAGCCATCGGATTTACATGCTAAAGCTCCCTTTTTAGAATTAACAGGTAAGTTATTTACTTCCTTTCCAATTTACGCAAAGTGTTAATTTTTATATTGCTTATATTCATTCAACAGAACCAAAAAGTAAAACCGCTTACACCAACTAAAGGCCTGTTTATATAATCCAAGTTCTTGAACTGAGATTGATGGAAACTTGTTTTGCATGGAGCTTGGATAGTTTAAAGGATCATCCAAGTTCTTGATCCAAGCCCTTGGATGATAGCAGAGCATGCTCTACTTTCCATCCAAGTTTTTTCTCACTTAACCAATCAGCTTCTAAAGTTTGATGACGTCAGCGAGCGAGCATATGATAATTTCATTTGTTGTCCCTTTTCATATATTTCAATCTAAATAAATTAATCTATAGGATCAATTTGTCATAATTTTATTTTATTTTGTAGTTTTGTTTTAATGCAGAATGTGAACCATGTGCATGCACCGGGTTTTCATCTGACCAAACAGTGACGCTCAGGAAATGAAAAGTGTCACCGAATCATTCAACTTCTTAAATAGAGAAATTCCTCCAAGTCCTTGGATTCAAGAACTTAGACTGTATAAAAGGGCATTTAGACAAGTACGCTGCTCAGACTATCAAAAATAGAATTGTTTAGCCGATTGCTTAACAAATTTTTTAAGAAGGGATAGAAAAATTAATCCGTTTATGCCTAACATTTTTGGGTGGTTCTCAAATGATGGGAACATAACATGATCTAAAAGTTCTGAAGCAACAATTAAATTTAAATTTAATTCTCAGCCAGAACTTTAAAATGGCTTTATAGTTCTGTCTTAACAGGAATTCATATGAAATCTCGCTCGCAAAAATGGTCTACAAATAAATTTAAAAAACAATTTTTCCATCCAAAAGGGCTAATTTTAGATATACATGATGTTAACTGAGTTGATATAACTGCAAAAAAAATAAATAAGTAAACAGCGTCTAGATGTTTACTAATGAAAATAAGTATATAAAACTTAAATATGATAACTATTTGATAATATCCTGAACAAATGGTAATAAGTTGCAAAACAATGTGAAAGATTTTTTTAGAAAAAACAATGTTTTGATGCATGTCTAAAAAAGTATTAAGCGAAAACCCGCCATTGTTTTAGGGAAAATACATCAAATTACCTTAGTTCATTTATAAACCTTTATAATAGTTTTTTTTTCAGACATTTAAATATTTTCTTATGTTTTCATGAAATATTTCTGTATCATAAAGCCATTTCCATACATATGAAGTATAAAATTGTTCAAATATAACACACGCAATGGCGATAATTTTCTCTGATGTCATGAAATTCGATGAAAAAAGTTATCTTAGTGTTAATTTGATGTTGATCGAAAAGAATATTGCATAAATAGTGAATATTTAATGCAGATGAGATAAATATTAACAGAATCCACAGTATTCTTTCATTTTAATTCTAAGATATCACTCTGTATCAGTTCAAAGTATAATTTTCATTTTGAAATGTGTAGTGAAATATTAAATAAGTGCTTTTTTGCGATACAATGAGAAATGGGGGGGGGGGGATTATTTCAATATAAGTTTTTATTTTTGTGAATGATTAGAAGAACGTATGTGCATTGAAAAAATAGCAATATATATAAATAAGCAGTGGTAAAGTGTTCGATAAAAGTCAATTTGCTTTTGAAAACATTGTAAAAATGGCAATTAACTAGCAAAAGTTTTAAGTTAGTTTAATCTAATGAAATTATTTTCTTTTCAGCTTTCATATTTCTTTCAGAAATAGTCTCGTAAGGAGTGTTAGAATTAACTATCATAACTCAATTTGTTAACATGGAATGGTAGTTGATACATCATGATTTATCCTAAAATAGACAAAAAGTAACTAAAAATAATTCTTCGATTGTTATTTTATTTTTAATAGGACGGCTGTGAGGCAACCTCTATTTTGCTTCACATCTGCAACTCTGAATATGTCACTTTAATAAAATGAATTTAGTGGTAGCTTTGTTAATTTAATATTCATGCATGCATTAGGTTTAGCGGAAAAAATGCTAGAAGAAAGTAAGAGCCCCATTATGCAATGATGCAAAAAAGTGCCTTGATAAAAAAGGGATTAAAAAATTTACCCTTTAATGTATATATCAAGCTTATCGGTCAGGTTTGTCTGATACTTTCGTTATAAGCATGAATATGCATGCAGTTGTCCTTTTGCGCTGTGTATATTTAATCTAGAATATTACCATTGGGTTAAAGGTTAAATAATCTATCACTTTCTTTGATAAGAGAAGTTTACTGGAAAATGAGGCATTTACTTTGATTGACTAAACTTTCCGGCAGACCTAATACAACTACTTTTTCTTCACGGCAGCACTTTTCTCTATATTGTAGTATGGACCTACTAACTACTTCAGCTTTTGGGCAGAAATTTCATTCAAATATTTAAAGTAGTGGCAGAGTTTCCGTTTTAAAATTTTATTTAAAAATGTTTTGAACATCACAATATGTAAGTAGTTACAAGATATATATTCAATGTCAGAAAAGCAAGCAGTTTGCTTTTAGGTGTTGATAAAGTTTTAAAAACCGGTTCTTATTTAATTATTATTCAACTACCATTTTAAGAGAACTTTGGATTGGTAGCTCTGTAGTAGTATAAAAAGTGAAGCGTTAATGAGTTGAAGAGTCGAATTTATTCGTCCTAAAGCTTTTTAAAATATTTGAAAGAAATTAAAAGCCAGATACTGCAACACAGTTCGTTAAACCTATTATGGCAGCTTCAGAACAATGGGTAACATTAACTTTCTTCGACCTAATACAGCAAAACTCCCTGCATCTTTGCATGAATCATATCTTATCTATCAAAATGGTTTTGTGCCACTGTAATTAAATTATAAACTAACAAAATACTTCATTTCCTTATCACAGGTGCAAAGGCAGCGGAAAATATGCCAAGACCAGGACCAATCAAGTCACATTTGCCATTTCATTTGGCTCCTTGGTCAAAAGATTCCAAATACATATATGTTGCTAGGAACCCTAAGGATTGCTGCGTATCCTACTACCATCATGTGAAGAATTTACCCGGACATGGTTTCGAAGGAACTTTTGATCAATTTTTTGAACTCTTCATGGTTGGCGATATATATTGGGGAGATTATTTTGACCATCTGCAGTCATGGTACTCTCACAGGTTTGTGTTTACATTTTATCATTTGCTTTTCTCTAAATAACTATAGGCGTGATAATCTAATATATATAATTCTCTTACGTGGCACCCAAATTTTGGCTGTATTTCTTTTCCACCGGTGGCAACGTTTGCTTTGCTTTGTTTACGTTACCATTTCTCTTACACGGCGAATCGACCAATGATTGCCGCTAAAAATGTCACATGCCAAATCTTGCTGAGGTGGCTCAACATGTAGCTCTTTTAAAAACGGAAACTGAAATGACCAGAGAACATCAGCTGCGGCAATCTCATACTATTAAGCTAGGCAGAAGTGAGTAGTCTTTGTCGATAGATTTCTATTTTAGTATTTTGTCGAAAGCGCTTTTTTTCACGAATTTATATATTACGAATTTATTTGACGATTTTTCATTTATATTACGAAGTATACTATACGACATTTCTAATAGATTTAACGAATTACATGTCATTTATTTGAATTCAAATTTATTTTAATGACTTAGCATTTACTAAAAAGATGTAATTTTTAAAAAAAAAAAAAAAGTTTTTATATGGATTTGAATGATTGTTTTGAATTCTTAGAATTTTGTGCATTTGCAATGTACCTAAGTTAGTAGCGAGCTTGGTTTGCGAAGCAACAAATCATATAAGATTGCATAGCAATTTTCGGGGTTGGCGAGCAGGGGACGCAGCCCACTAGTTATTTATACTTCAGTGCATGAGTATCCAATTCGTTTTAGTTTCATTAACCTCACTCTTTTAGTTCACTAAACTCGCAAGACACTCGTGGCTCGAGACAAATTTTGATGTGTCTCTTTTAATCAACTCAGGTCAGTTTAAAAGACATTGTTTTCTTCCGATTCAAAGTAAAAATATGAATACAGTGAAATGCATCTAGATTTTTTGTTTAAATCTATAATCAAATCATGGATAACTAGTGAGCCGCGCGAATTTTGCTACAATAAAATTGCATTAATCAAGTATATAGCATGTAATCAAGTATATAGTATAAAGTCAAGTATATTACTTTGTATGTAATAGAACAAAAGACTGTTTAAAAAGCTGATGTCTTAGGTTTCAGAAATATGTATTTTCTATGTGTGATTTTGCATTTGAATTCAAAATAAATAATACATTTCTTTTATTACGTTACAAATTTATCCGCATTATATGCGTTTTAAAACTAAATATTAGAAACAAACTGTGCAAAATGCTTCGAAACTCACGAGTAAAAATTTAAAAGTTAATTGAAAACATCAAATCACGCTATTGTCACTATACGATGTATGGACGTAGTGGAAGTGTTAAACCATTAGAAAGCATCCATTACTGTCAATTGAAAGAACACAACAGGTATTAAACTGCATGCGTGGAAAGACTACAGACACTATTCAAAAGAGTTACAGCCTATGGTAATGCAGACGTTACACCTGTGACATTCGCCGCTTGCTACAATAAAATTAATTTAGTACCTCTTGTATCCATTTGGTGCTTCGTTTTTTCGTGTGACAGAAGTAGCTGCCTCCTGGTAGTTCTTTGCTTACTCTCCGTTCTTAAGTAGTCTGGTGACAATTGCTTGTTTAGGTTTTTTTTTAAAAGTTTCTTCTATCACTCTTTAAATTTTTCCCATGAGCTTCGAAACACTCTAGTGTGTATGCTCAGGGGAAAAATTTCAATCCTTAATGGATGCAGTCAGAAGTCCCCAAGTTAGATCAGATAAAGAGTAAGGCATCACTTCTTTAATCCTTTCTTTTCTAGTGCCTGACATTATTGGAATATTCTAATCAGGTAGGAAATGATTTAATTTAAAAAAAAGTTCCTACTTAACTATAAACTTGTAATTATTTTTAATATTTTTAATATTTTAAAGAGATATTCATAGATAAAATATATAATGATCTCATACGTTTCATCTCCCCTTAGCGTGCTGAATTTTCAGCATCTATTCTTCCTTTGTCAACTTCTAAGAATTATTCAAAAGTCTGTCCCTTGTTACTGCATCATTTATTCTATACTTTAAGGCAGTGTTTCTCAAACTTATGCCTTTTGTGTACCCTTTCTAAATTTTTCGTAACGATGTGTACCACTAATAAAAAAATGAATGTATTTTTTACTATAAAAAATTGCACAAAAGTTAAAAATTACAACTGGCTGTTAACACCAGTAATTATTAATTGTTAACTCTGCGAAAAATAGACAATATAAAAATACATAATCGGAAATTTTCATGGCTAGCTTTGTTTTTAAATAAAAATTTTTGAAATTTTCCTTTGTTACAAAATATTTCGCATAAGAACTCATACCCCAGCTACACTGTTCCCGTACACCTGGAGGTACACGTACCTCACTTCGGAAAACACTGCTTTAAAGCATTCTTTATCTTATAAATTCTTAACATGATATTGCAATTTCAGTCAAACGCTGTTGTTGTAATTCATTTACGTAGCACTAGAACTGCACAATGGGCTATTGGCGACCGTCTGGGAAACATCCCTGAGGATGATCCGATGACATGCCATCACAATTTTGATCCTCTGCAGAGGGGATGGCACTCCCGCTTCGGTAGCCCGACGCCCTGCCCCTGAAGTCGAGCACTTTACGGTAGAACAATTTGACGAGGACCAATACCGCACACCCGCGGCCCCTACGCAGACTGATCCAAGTGGTCACCCACCCGCACACTGACCGCAGCCAGTGATGCTTGACTTCGGGGATCTACTGGGAACCGTGTCTTAACGATCAGTCCACTGCGAGACTTCAGTCAATCGTAAACACTTTGCTGTGCACTCAGGAGGTGGCTCGTGCTTAATTTTCAACCACAAAACATTTCATATCTAAATTATAAATATGCACTTAAGTGAATATCTACAGAGATGCCAACTTTCTCGGCTTTGTAAAAAGAAAAACTTTCCAGTGTTACGTGAAGTTACTGTTATGTTTGGTTCAGTAAATTTGATTTTGAATTATTTTTTTCCACCACAACATATCAAACATACAAAGCCTGAGGTGAAATGATCCTTTGTTGTAGTCATCTTGTGGTGAGACTCTTAGAAAGTTAGCAAAAATGTCCCTTATTCTGGAAGTTTTATTTTTAAAATGAATATCAATAGTTGTAGCATAGCAGGGCTGCCAACTTTCTATGCTTTTGTAAAAATTTATGCTAGCTAAGTTTCTGTTTTATTGTTATTTTTATTCATTTAAACTTATTTTCCACACCACTACATATAAAATCTTCTAAAAATTCAAATGCAAAGCCACTTTGTTCCAGTTCAGGAGCAGAGAAGTATCGCCCGCCAAACGCTGTGCATAGCGTGGAGGTAGCGGGTTTGAACCCCACTGTTACCCTGGATGAATCTTTATGCTGTAATTCTCTGCATGGTGCTATCTGTCCTTCTATTTGAGAAAGGTTTATAAGCCTAAATTGAGCACATAAGCCTGCAAATGTATGTAAAAGCCAATAAACCAATCCAGCTCTCTCGAGGTGAGGCTTTTAAAATGCCATCAAAATTTCTGAAAGCTTTGGTATTTAAATGTAAAAAATTTTCCAGACCATGAGAACACAATTTGAAATATAGCGCTTGAAGCTTATAGAAATAGCGTCTTTTTTACCCATGCAAAATTTGCATCAACCAAAATGAGCGTAAGAAATTTTTCTTTTCCTTCTTTACTATTACTATAGCTTTAAAAGCATTCTGGAATATAACTATTAATCCTATAACATGTTTTCAAAATCACTGAGTAATAAGGGAATAAATTATTTACATCGAGTAATTTTCATGTAAGATTGTTTACATAGAGTTAGTATAGAAGTGTTTTCATATTTTTGTCCAACCCCTGAATCGTTCAGCATGTGATTCTTGATTTCATAAAGTTACTAAGTAATAAAGTTACTTTGCCTTACCTCTACTAAAAAATAATTCAAACTATATATAAAATGTTACTTTGTTCTAATAACAGCAGTGCAAGGATCGAAATTTTGATGACATGTCTTCGGATCATCCTCAGGGATGTCTCCCAGATCATCGTCAATAGCCCATTGTGTGACGTAAATAAAACACTAACCAACGGCGGGCCAACTGTGGCCAGTCGTAAGATTTTATCCGGCCCGCTGACAGAATTTTAACTAGCCGATCAGTGGCGAATATATCTACTTTGTTTAAAACTATTTTTGTTGATTTCTTTTTTAACAAAGTACTGATGACCTATTCACTTTCTCTATTTTTGTTCTACAAAACATAAATTAATTAAAATAGTTAGCACAAACAGCTTTAACTGGTAAAATGTTGAAAGCAAAAGTTCCTTATAGAATAGCTGTAGATTAGCTCCAACTAGTATTTGTCTTTCTCGAGGAGCAGACATATGTAATCTAATATAGGTGAATTGTACTTCACATGAGGCTGTCTACGCGTTTTAAGTTCCTAAGTTCCAACGAACGGATTTTTCTGCCGGTTCGAGTTCTAACATAATTTACTGCGAATGGAAAGTTTGCACACATACAACGTCATTATAAATAATGGTGACATTATTAAATGTATAAAATGGCTACTGCCTTTTTGAGTTATTTGTAAACATTTTTTATCCCAAAATGGCAACTAAAAAACGCAANGCGGACAGAATTTTAACTAGCCGATCAGTGGCGAATATATCTACTTTGTTTAAAACTATTTTTGTTGATTTCTTTTTTAACAAAGTACTGATGACCTTTTCACTTTCTCTATTTTTGTTCTACAAAACATAAATTAATTAAAATAGTTAGCACAAACAGCTTTAACTGGTAAAATGTTGAAAGCAAAAGTTCTTTATAGAATAGCTGTAGATTAGCTCCAACTAGTATTTGTCTTTCTCGAGGAGCAGACATATGGAATCTAATATAGGTGAATTGTACTTCACATGAGGCTGACTACGCGTTTTAAGTTCCAACGAACGGATTTTTCTGCCGGTTCGAGTTCTAGCATAATTTACTGCGTATGGAAAGGTTGCACACATACAACGTCATTATAAATAATGGTGAAATTATTAAATGTATAAAATGGCTACTGCCTTTTTGAGTTATTTGCAAACATTTTTCATCCCAAAATGGCAACGAAAAAACGCAAAGTTGATGTAGAGTGACATGCACTCAATGATGAATTGACTTTATTTTATTTCAGAAGTTTTTACTCGGCCCACCAAACTTTTTTTTCTAGATTTTTGGCCCACGACCAAAAAAGTTTGCCCATCCCTGTTTTAGTCATTCACTTTCTACCTTTCTATAAACTATTTGCGGTTAGCGGAGGCGTTGGCATCCCTGAATTTCTCAGGAAGGATTTAAAATATAGTAATTCCCTTCGCAGCGTTTCAGATGTGGTAATCCTTTGCACTAGAGGATTATTCTTTGACACCATAAATTTCCTTTTACTTTGAATGTTAAATATTTTTTCACTGTTATATTCAATATATTCAATAACACTTTATTTACTGGTTTCTTTGTGTTAAATGTTAATTATTAAAGTTATGGTATAGAGTTCACCTTCCAATGAAGTGAACCGGGTTCAAATACCAGAGACGGGTGGTTGATACGAATTCTGTACCCGGCTTGCAACGACCACAGTGCAGACATAAAACGTCCTCAAGGGGATTATTGCTTAGAGTTCCCTTGTCGTCAAGCTTTTCGTGGTTTTCCTCTCGTTTCGTTTCCTTTAGTAGTTTACAAATTCTGCACCTGGCTCACACTACCATCAGTACTGGTGTAAAATATCCTCAGTGGTAGAGGAATCATGAGTTAGAGTCTCCGTACCACCGTCAGACTTACTGTCGGAGGTTTTCCTCTACATTCAACGCAAATGTTGGTTAGTTCCATCAAAAAGTACACCACAAAGGTAAATTTCTCCCAATACTTGATACACGAGTTCCCTTGTCAAAATGGATTTGGTTCAAAATTACTAGACTGAGGAGTTGAACATTGGTAGTCGTGAACTCAAAATTGGGTGGGCTGTTTCACGACTATTACGAAATATTAATTATGCAAACTGTGGGTTTTGTCTTGCAAACTTATTAGTTACGTCTCTTTTCCTTTAAATGCAGAAGTAACCTCTACTCCAAAGGGTTAAAATACATACTTCTAAATTAGTATATATAATGATTTTTAAATATAATGTCTTTGCCTACTTTCTTTTTTTTCCAGAAATGATCCGAATGTTTTCTTTGTTACTTATGAAGAGCTCAAGGAGGACATCGATTCCGCCATTTTAAAAATGGCAGCATTTATCGATGACAAAGAATATGCTGAACCCATTAGAAAGGATCCAAGCCTCATGGAGAATATCAAAAAATACAGCAGCTTAAAAGAAATGAAAGAATTCATGACAAAAAGCTTTATGGATATCGGTGAGATGACGCCTGAAGAATTGAAGAAATCGTCAGTGCCAGATACAATAAAGGAAATTTTGGTGAAAGAAAAAGTTGCGATGAAAGCTGCGATTGAAGGTAAGAAAAGTGGCCCCAACATAAGTAATTTCGTAAGAAAAGGAATTGTTGGTGATTGGAAAAATTACTTCTCCGAAGAGCAAAGCCGCCGACTGGAAGAAAAATTTTTGGAGAAGACAAAAGACATGGATATACCAAATATTTGGCTAAAGAACATGGAAATGATATGAATATAGTATTTCATTGGTACATAGGCCACTAGTTCAAAACATTCCAATTAAAAAGAATTTAGTGTCTATAATGTGTTTATTCATTTAAAAATAAAACAAACTAATTTTGTCATATTTTATTTTTAATTTAACCCTCTATTTTTGAGTCTCTAAATTTCAATGCTTTAAAAATTTTAAGTCAACTTAAGAATTTAATATACACAGGCACTTAGCAAAAGAAGGAAACAATTACTTAAATAGTAGCTAATTCTGAATTCTATTTATATTTATGTAATATGCACAAAATATTCACTGCTTATGCAATATAAATTTCTATTTCAATAAAATTAACACTATAATGTCTTTTTTCTCTAAGTTTAAAGACCTGAGATTGTATTAAATATAAAAGTATAGGAGAAAGTTATGCAGGATTTGGATAATCTTATATTTCACATGTAGCTTTATGTAGATAATATGTAAGTGTAAACTCAAATTACTCAAGTTAGAGTTCATTTAATGTTCATATTTCGTGTATTTCGTGTGTTCATGTTCTCTTCTTGCTCGTGCAAATCGTGGCGAATTCGCTAAAGTATTAATATATATATATATA